GGGTTTAGATCATGTACTACAGACAATCATATTTCAGGCAGCCTCAATACATTTGGGGATGAGAAAGATACCTTCTTTGTCCACGCAGTCGTTGAAGTCGCCAAGTACAACTTTGAAATCTTGGCGGGGACAGCACTTATAAGTATGCGCCTCCTTGGTTACATCGTCCTTCTTCTCATTCGGGGTGTGTCCGAAAATCAGCACGGTGTTGCAACATGTCATTTTAATGTAGAATGTGACGAGATGTTCATCCATCAGAGTAAAGTCGGCGACGAAGTCTCTGTCCCACCACAAATCCGACACCAAATTTGTATGGCCGCTGGCCATCTTAGTTCTTGGACGGCGGTGATGTCAGCTTTTAATTTTATTATTCCCAATTAAGGGACCGCACATTCCAAAACTTGATCCTTGATTCGTTTGCAATGGACATCATCAAAAGGTGGTTCTCTAATCCGCGGCTTTAGTTGCTTTTCATTCGGGTGGATTTTTATTTGGTCCCAAACGCTACGCAGAACCGCATGAGTTTCGTCTTCTCACTTTAGCTCGCCTCCTAACGGATGTTTTTGTGCTACCCAGAGGTTATTTGGTCTAAGATCGGAAGTTGTGAGCTAATTGAACCATATGCAGAGGAATCGTTTCTCCCAGGAGAATAGCAGTCAAAAGCTTTCCTGACTTGCGTGTACTTCTACACATGATCCCAACCTCTACAATATGCCAAAATAGACTATTATAAGTGAAATCATGATTGGAATACCACATTCAGTGTGTTTGGCGAGTTGCTGAGTTGCTGAACTACTGTGAAAGTTGGGAATGTTGTAGGAGGTCTAAAAATATAATATATTCCTATTTTTTTATACAACGTAAGCAAGCTTTTTTGGGTTTTTGTAACTTACGGGAAGGCAATGTCGACCAAATGAGCGCCAAAACATCGCGAAGCATCCTAAGGACACAACGACCATAAGATTCCGAAAACGACGGAGACACATACAATGAAATGAAGCTCGGTGAAAACTCAGTAAATTTCTCTTTTTGGTAAGTAAAACATCTTACTCTCCCAATTTAATTACTGCCTAGTTCTCACTGAACAGGGCTATTAATAATTTATAAATCTGATATGAAATTTCGGGTCTTAATTTCAATTCTAAAAAAAATATTTTTTTTTGCCATAAGTGCATACTTGGACGCCTAAAATTATTCAATAAGACCACCTATTTTAGTACCTCTGTATGTATATATGTACATATGTATGTTAGTATATCTTCATAAACTGTTACAGCACATGTCAAAACAATGCATTTCCACATCCACTTAAGAAGGCGATGTGATCCTGCTGGGTTGAGAAAACAATGTGTTTTACTCAGCAGAGAAGATTTGTGTAAATATACTTTCTTAATTGGTTGATGCCACACTGCAGCACACTCATTCTCACTTCATTAAAAAGTATGTATCTGCAACTGCGTTCAAAATAATAGCAGTGCTAAGTACTAAAACATAAGTGTGAAAATAATTTTTCGAGATATCCTTACCTTCAAATATATTAGTAAATAAATAAATGCTCACGTGATGGTCTGTTTCCACTATTTCCATGATTTTATCGCAATTATCGACGTCAGGCCTCCCGACGCGTGGTGCATTTTTGACATCGAAATTACCGGAACGGAACCTAGCAAACCACTTTTGTGCTACACGTTCGCTTACAGTATTGGGCCCATAAACCAAAATAATTTTTTAGCCGCTTTGGCTGCTTTTTCGCCTTAATCGAAGAAAAATTTTAAAATATAGTCAAATTTCTCTTTGCTGGTGTGCGGGCGCTCACAACGTACTGAGTCAATGAATCGAAAAACTGTCAAGCACAGACTTTTAGCGCGAATGATGCGACCCGTAACACCAGTACTATGGACAATAAGGCCATCTCTTATCATAAAAACTGAACGAACTTTTTACTTGACTTAATATAATTGGCGCTTTCTTACCGCAGAAGCGATTTTCGTCTCGATGTTTTTCCAGCAAATGGAGGGACCTACAGTTTATACTAAGCCGCCTCCGAACGGCTGATCGTTTTTTATGAGGAGCTTTTATTTCGTGTCAGAAATACACTCGGGGGATTTCCTGCGTGGTCGCTGTGTGACAGAAAGAAAGAAAAAAGTCGGTTGTCATTAACGTTCGGTTACTAAAAAGGGATTGATCGATTATGTGGCAAATAAAATAGTTCGAACCCCTAAAGAAGTGTTGTTCTCACTTGCAGTGCTTGCCAAGAAGGCTCCGCCAATGACTTTTGTACGGTAGGAGTACAGCGTCTTTACAGTAAAAGTGTCACATTAGTCACAGATTGAGCTTGGCGTAAGAACTTTTGGAATAGTCCACTTAAACGTGGCAGAATATATCTATTTTGGTAACAGTAAAATTATTATTTTTGTCGGAAAGGGTACAAGACAATACGACAGGCGAAACCCCAATACTGAATACGACCCCTGAAACACTTTAAATACCCTTAAGTATAACGGATTGAGTATAAAAATTTGGGCTTGCTTTTCATATACCACGTAATTAGAAAAATGTATTGTAAAAAATATGAAAATATTGCACACAGTGATGTTTTTTATGCCAGAGAAGAGTTGCCATTTAGCGCTCTACTCCAAAATGTTATTTCTATAGTTAAGAGATGGTGCAGAGATATCGGGTTAGACGTGAACCCTGATGGAGGGAACCTTTCTATCTACGATAAAACATGCCACTATCCACGGCAAATTACATGCTTAAACTTGCCTTTACTAGGGAAGCCGACTAAAAATGGTTGAATGAGTTCACGTGTAACGGGACGCAAAGAAATCAAAACATCTTATCCTTCTAATCCGGTTCTCCATTAACATAACGACTGGCATAATAGCTGGATACTGTTTAATGGGGCTTTACAAGAAAAGAATGGGCTGTCACTCCAACGATTTCTGCCGCAGCTGTAGGGAAGAAGAAGAGGAAGAGACCATCGAGCATTACCTCTGCCACTGTCCAGCCTTAACATTTGCGCTACACAAGTTTCTTGGGATATACTCCTTCGAATGTCTCGCTGAGCTAGCTTCTGCGAATATTGGAAATCTCGGTACCTTTATGAGGCACACGAAATGGTTAAATCCTTTGAAAAGATCAAGGCTGGAGCCTAAGTGTGCTGGTGGCCGAAACAACTCAGTCTAACACAAGGTGGGTCTACCAGGAAGACATCGGACCAAAACAAAAAAACAGATTGGCATTCAAACATGACTAACAACAACGATCTTTGATGTATGGTTGAACGTTGAGCTGGTGGATTCAATTCATCGTCGTTTGTGTAGCTAAACCCAATAAATGATTCTCAACAACATGCTGACTACATTTAAAATTTAGTACTTAATATATAATTGCTTAACGAGGTGTGACAATTAAGTAATGAGACTGATTATATTGGTAACCCTGCGACCTTGAGACCCCCTTTTCCTTCTCCCAGCATCCTTCTCATCTTCATTGATATATTTGCCAACGTTCAAGCGGTGCCTGCGGTTTCGAGTTGAGTAAACGTGTGTTCAGGGTCCTCGCCTTGTAGCAGCAACCGCCTTATTCGTCCGATATGTCACTCTGTGACCTTTTTTGTTCAAACCTCCGTACGACCAACATCCAAAATTATAGAAAATTAATTTCTTCCCTCAGCAGGGAATGTCCACCAATCTGAACATATTTCGGACATGAAATAAAGGCTCCTCGTAAAAAAACCATCAGCCGTTCGGAGGCGGCTTAGTATAAACTGCAGGTCTCTTTTTACGTTGGAAAAACATCAAGAGCAAAACCACAAATTGGAGGAGGGGCTCGGCCGAAAATCGCTTCAGCGGTTACAAAGCGCCAATTATTCGATGGTCAAAGGAACTTATTTTGAGTCGATTCGAGACGAAGTGTTCCAGAATATTTACGAAGCATGGAAAACACGCTCGTTGTATAGTTTCCCAAGGGGACTACTTTGAAGGTGATGACAGAGTGGTTGAATAATTTGGAAATATATGGTTTTTATGGAATCAGTCTCATTACTTAATTGTCACACCTCGTATTTTCATAAGGGTTTGGTTTTCTTGATCTTATTGGTACTCAGCACTGCTATTATTTTGACCTCCGGTGTATGTAAACTCACTCATGTGCCCTTATCACCACTTTATCGCAGATACGTATTAGTTAATTAATTGAAATACTTTTGCTATCCACTGACGAACTACTCGATTCAGGAGCCGCTGTTCAGAGAAGTGCGAAAGTCAAATACTATGTATGTAGCAAAAAGCGCTGTCCCAAAGCAACGCAATTCAATTTAGCGTAATAATTGAAAGATTAAAACTCAAATGGATTTTTAAGATCTTAAGAATGTATGTATGTCTGGGGTATAGCACTGTGCGGAAGTGCCAAAGGAGAACCCGCTGTGCCTGTAATCCCAAAACAAACAAGAGAACCGACCATTGCATTGGAGAATGAGTAAAAGGAGGAAAAAAACAACAAACTTCTTTCAGCACTCTGAGCATCAGCAGCTCATTTATGCTTCGGTGAAATATTTAGACCGTTATTGTATGCATTAAATACATGCTTTCATACATAAATACGTAGTTTATGGTCAATTTGTCGCCACTAACGACTTAATTCATTTCACAGACATTGCGCCACCAGTGTACTCTCACCGCAGCACACTTGATTGTCCACGTCCACTGATGCTCACACTAATTTCAAAAGCAGCATAGAGAGGGTAGCCAACAGCTGGCTGCTAAGTTGTGGGAGGTAGAGAAGGAAATACATGAAATAAGAGATCAGCAATGATCATTAACTCATTAGTTAAAAAATGCGCACGCACAACCGCACAACCGCCCAGGCTCAGCAGAAACAGACAGACGAGTTAATAAGCGTTCATTACAGAGAAGAACAACGTCATGACAACTGAAATCGCATTTCTATTGTTGTTCTCCTCCGCAAGTCAGTTGTAAACAGATTGGCCAGCAGTGTCGGCGAAAAATTCCGGAGCATTTTAATTAATGTTTATAATAATATATTTAATTAAACAATTTGAAAGCGGGAAAGCTTGTTCTTTGAATTCGCGTTAGAGTCTAAAATTAAATTAATATTTTTTTTTTTTGTTAAAATATGGAATTTGAATTATTAAATAATTATCCGTTCGCGTTGGATGCGCTGTGTGCATCCCAAAGTGTTAGTCCTGCGCACTCGGAGATCTCCAATGCGAGTGAACAAGAGAAACCGAGAAAAGAAGTGAATGCCCGCGAACGAAATCGCACACAAAGGTTGTGAGTTAGAAAAAATCGAAGACTTGAACATTTAAAGGTTGTTGGTCGGTCTTACACTCTTTTCTAAATGCATAGTATTTTTTAAGGTTAAACATAGTTTTCAATCTCACTTTACAATACGATTTTTACTCAAATACAATTTTGAAGGTGTGGCTAATATATGAAATTTTGAGATGATGGCAACTTTCCCGACATCCGATTCTGCGCACCAGAGATGATCCAGATTTTATCCGGCCAAAGGCTGTCACCCCTTCAGTGACCTAACCCCATTTGGGTCAACAAGTAAATCTAGTCTAAGTACCTCGCAGCAGCGCTGATCCCTTAAGTTGTTGTTGCTGTAAAGCAAAAATATTCCTCAAAAACTAAATTGTGGAAGGGACGCTGTTTGGCCATATAAAAACCCGGTTCGATCCGGTATATGGACCCGTCTGTCATGGAAACTATCGGATCTTAATCACCTCTTATGACAGATATGCTTATGGCGGGTAAATCCGTGAGCCGCAAAGGCACCCAATCTCTTCTCGTCTGGTCCGACGTCGATTCCAACTGTGAAACGACGGATTATTTCTGTTACTTGTGTCACAGACGACTCTACCATTCTTTAATTTCGATTAGAGAACACATGTGCAGTGGTTGGAGTAATCTTAAAATCTACTTAGGCTCACAGGAAGTGGAACGCACGTTACACGGTCCCATGCTGCTGAATCACAAGCCTTTACTGCAGCGCGTTCAGAGACTCTAAACACTTCGGGTAACCACCCCCAGCCCTCTACGGTCCAACGGAGCTCACCGCCCATTTGGAGGGTTCTCAGCAGCCCTGAGTTCCCTTCTCACGCTATAGTTCCTTGTTTCGCATGTCAGTCTATAATGTGTCGGAACGTAACAGGAGTCAAATACAACTCCTACCCTAGCTGATGCCACTTTCGTATGTCCTCTGTACTGCGCCTCACCCGTTCATGTAGTGACTCCAACGTTGCCCCATGCTGTAGGAGTCTTCTCCGCCTTCAACTGCAACACCCTCTATTAAGGGTAATTGTTTCATCTCGCCTTATATAACAATTGCAAAAGCTGGTCGGTTAAACATCGTAGTTTGGCGACCTGTGCTGTTGTTAGCATCGAATCAATTGTCAATAATCGTTTGGCAAGGCTCCTGCACTCGGTTCCGAGGTCCACTGGACGATTGTTAACATTAAAAAAGCTAACTGATTCATGGAAATCCAGCCTGATACTTCCACTGATGCTTTAGTTTTAGCATCCAGGTGCGTCTCCATAAGTCATAACGATCCCAGTAATCCTCTCATCAGGAATCTCAATAAGTAGACTCAACGTAACCACCTAAGGTCCTGCAACCATAGACAGTTGGGTCATTATACTAACCCCGTTAAGGACAACCGGTTGAACTCTCAGTGAATGGCGTTCTCGGAATCCAATCACCAACCAGAGCTGACGAGGAGCTTGGGATGTTAGGGCAGGGAGTACCCCAATAGTTATTTAATAGAAGCTAAACCTCAACCTAGGCACATCAGAAAGAAAGTACTAGATTTAAAGTGCACAATCCAGCAATACGTGCAACAACCGCTAGACAGGACGGCATAGAGACAAGCACTGAACGCCATTCAATAAGAGTCAATCAACACCTTCAAAGACTCCCTTCCCGTGAATGGCGTGCTCGGAGATAAAGCACCACCTATCGCAGACAACGAGCACGAGCTGCCTCGAGAGACCCGCGTGACACTGGCACAACTTACGTCTGAATACTGTAACAAGTTAAACTCCTACTCGACCCCAACATACCCAGCTGAGTAATGAACAGGCAGACGTGGCTAAATTAGCTCAACACGTCTTTCGAATAATATCGCTATAAAATAAATTTATTCGCACAGAATATTTTTTTCTTCGTTAGATCTCGGTTACATGTAAAATAATTAAATTAAATTTTAGTATTTGAAGTAATAAACATTTTAAATATTTTTAGTGTCAACTCAGCATTTACAACATTACGCAGATTAATACCAACAGAACCGTGCGATCGTAAACTATCAAAGATTGAAATATTGCGTTTAGCTAAGAGCTATATAGCACATTTGGATGCAGTAGTAGTAACTGGTAAGCTTTTATATTAAAAAAAAATTCAATAAAAAATTAAATTTTTAAAAACTTTTTACAGGTAATAGCGATAAGCCCTGCGCTAGTTATTCCAGTTCACATCATTATGAAAATATGGGTGCAATAAACGACTCAAGGCCAATTATCTGCACATTTTGCGCCACTCTAAGTGGAAAAAAGAATTGAACTAAAACAAAAAAATGTGTGTTTTATGTATGTGAATGTACATATGTGTAAGATTTAAATTATATTTACTTTTACAAAGTATTTTTAATAAGTTATGTAATCAAATTTATAATAATTATTAAATTTTATTATTTAAAGCTTTTTTAACATAACTCATAATTAAATATAGTGATAATACTGTATGCTTTCCAAAGGAACAAATTCGTCACAAACGAACTTCAACGTAAGTAATTAATTCCAAGATACTAAATCATCATTATCAAGCTGTTCGAAAGCTTGGTCTCCTAACATATGTAATGGTTGCTGATTTAATAAAGCCGTAACATCTTGTGAGCTGTAAAAAAAGAGTTAATGAAAAAACTTTTACATTTCTGACTAAAATGCATAATTCACACCCGATCGAAGTACAGCTTTTATCTCCGTTATCACCATCTGTTTTTGCAACCAACGTACTATCATCTACCAACTTTTCATCGATAGTCGCATCACTACAAATAGCTTTTAACTCTCTAACCTCAGATAATTTGGTTGTCAATTTAGCAGCTTTAATATTTCCATCCGTCAAATTTGTCAACCCAGTTACACCCGGCTTCTGAGCATGTTGTTGGTTCATATGTTTATTGAGGTTCGCTTGTCGTACAAAACGACTTGAACATAACTGACAAGGATATGGTTTATCGCCTGTATGACTAAGCAGATGTGTATTCAAATCTGTTTGCCGAGCATATTTTTTATCACAATGTGGGCATTTAATGGTTTTATCCATGTGATTAAGTTTCATGTGCGTTGTCATCGATGAGTGTTGAATAAATCGCTTTCCGCATATATCACAACCATATGGACGTTCGCCGGTATGACGTCGCTGGTGACTTTTGAGCGTTGTAGGGCGTAAGAATCTATCTCCACAAAATTTACACTCATACGGTCTTTCGCCAGTATGAGTACGTATGTGATGTTTCAGTGCATAAATCGTGGAATAAGCCTTAGCTGTTAATGATGTATTGAAAATACTTAAAAAAATATTCGCTGGTATTTTATATATGCATGTACTTACGGCACATTGTGCAGAGGTAGTCCTTTTCGCCAGTGTGCATCACCATGTGATAGCGCAACTTTGAAGCCGATATCATGTGTTTCCCACACACTTGACAAGGAAACATGCGTTTCGGTTTTGGCTCTTTTGCCTTACGACTTGAAATAAAGGTTCGTACTTGCTTCTGTGATTTTTGGCTGTCTGTTTCGTCGTACGCTTGTTTTTGACTTTCAGTAACTTGTTGAGCATCTGTATTCTCAAATCTAGTATCAGCCTCTTTATTAGGCTTTTTCGATATTTTTCGCTGTTTATTTCTCACTCGCTTCTTTTTACTTATATCACTTTTTGTTAAATGGACCTCCATGTGTGCTTTCAAGCCAACTGTTGTAAAATAACTCTGCTCACAAATGGCACAACGAAATCGTCCTACACGAAACCAAATTTTTACTTATATGTTTAAATTTATATAACGACTCACACCTTTAGGGAAAATATGGGCTTCTGGAGAAAACATTGCATCAGTAGCCGTTTCATTTGCTGTATGCCCATCAGTCTTAAATTCATCATCATCATCAAAGGATCGAGGTCGGTTGGAAGGAGGATCAAATAAAATTTCCTTGTTGCCTTCATTTGTTTTAACTGAAATTAAGGTTTCTTTACTATGGAATTTACTTTTACCTTTTTATCCTTTATTCTTTTTTTCAAATTTTTACTCACTGAAAAGTTGCATTAAAGGCTTTTCGTCTTCACTGTCAAACACAATATCCGAATATGTTTGAGATAATGCTGGGGACTCTCTCTTCTCTTCTATGACAATCTCTTCTTTTATAGTCTGTAAATTTGGCTTTCTTTCCTTAAACGCAAATGTTATTTTAAAAATGATATAATTTTTAGAATATATTTTCAGTATGACTGATTTGTACTCACAGTGTCACTTTCCGAGTCTAGAAGAGGATCTTTAATGCATTTTGCGACATGACTACTGCATGCATCTATTACGTCAGCATCCGCGAGAGTATAGGTCATGAGCACATTATTTTCGGGTAATTCAAATTCAGAGGGTGAAATCGCTCTTGCCATATCTTCATGCTTTTGTATTAGCATTTTGCTATAAAGCTTTTCATAATTCTTTCTGGCCTTTATCCAAAATTCATAGGCATACTGAAGATCACCTGGAGAAAGTATTTCATTATACAAAGGTAATATGTATATACTCGAAGGTTCACTTACGACTACAGCTATTACACAGCAGATTCGAAAGTTCATCCACTCCGACTGTTACGTCCAACTGTGTGCAAGTTGTATAGGCTTTTTCATAAGTAATTGACTCATGTTCCATACTCACTGGAAATATATCCGTTAGTGAAACAAATCTGCTCTTGCATTTCTTTAAGCAGACTCTACAAATTAGCTGTACGTTCCTTGACATTATCCAGTGATCAACTGATTGTATAAATACTTATCCAGACATTACATTCTTTTATCTGATGGATTAATATTTGTTTATTTTATATTCTAATCTAATAAAATCAAATAACGAATGAAATAAAAAATGAGCAAGGAATATTGTGGTTTTTGTTTTGAGTTTTTCATTTTTATTTACATTTCTCATGGTTGCCGCGATCATAATCCGGAAGTTTCTCATGGTTGCCGTTCGAAAAAAAATGTAAATAAATAATTCAGCAACTCAATAAGGTATTACGAGATATTTATATGAGGCTCACGAGTGCTATGGCCTGCCGGTCTATTCAGGTCATGGGAAATATAACCTCTGCGATCAAGTTAATATATAATATTTAACTAGATCTCATGTTAATCCATAAATATTTCTAAGGTCAGTTGCGTTAGAGTGTGAAGGATTGTCCCTTTTCGAAAAAAAAAACTGCAGCCAAATGATGATTTAATTAAAACATATGGCGAATATTCTAACCAAATGGCGATGCAGCTGATGAAGCCATAGAAAACATCGTTAAAATATTAATACCGAACAGTGAAATCGGTTAATTGGTCGCTATGCTATTATTTATGTATGACGTATATCTAAATCAACAAAGTCGTAAATAGATTCTTTGATTGACCCGAAAAATCGCAAAAAATCGCATAAAAATAATAGTGTTTAGAAGCCATTAAGGCTAAGCGGTGTTTGTCTTCGGTCTCATATACTCGCCGATTAGTCGGTTACAGAACATGGTGGCACGAAAGACATTTGCCTTTGAGGGATTTCTGATACTCTTTAGACGTAGTGATACTGACTCTATTTACGAGGAATTATTGAATGTTCCCCGATTTGTCGACGCGGCAGACGCAACCACAAAAATTGTGGAAACGCTGCATATACAAAAGCAGAAACTAAATATACAACAACTCTTGTTATGTTCTCTATTTTGTTCATTGCTGTTATGTATTTTGTTGTTTAAATCTCTCTTTGTGGCATCACCGAATTCCGTTGAGCTCTTTTTCTGTGGCAGCTCTAGAATGTCTTTTTAAGCAGCTGTTTGTCGTTGACATTTCATAGTTGTTTTCAATCCTTCTGATTAACGTTTTGTGAATTGTGGAAGATTCGATATAAGTCCTAATTTTTGTAAAAAACAAAGCGTATAATACTGAATATTTAATACGTAAATATGCCGAAAGTTCGAAGAAGTCGCAAACCTCCTCCAGATGGCTGGGAATTAATTGAACCAACGCTTGAAGAATTGGAACAGAAAATGCGGGAAGGCAGGTTTTCGTACATTGAAGCCCCACGAAATATGCGATTTTAAAATTTACAAATAAATTTTTAAATTTCTCCTTTTAGCTGAAACGGAACCACATGAAGGAAAGCGTATAACCGAATCGCTGTGGCCCATTTTCAAAATTCATCACCAGAAATCGCGATACATCTACGATTTGTTTTATAGACGTAAAGCTATCAGCCGGGAACTATATGACTATTGTTTAAAAGAAAAAATAGCAGATGCTAATTTAATAGCAAAATGGAAAAAGTCTGGTTATGAAAATTTATGCTGTCTACGTTGTATACAAACTCGTGATACTAACTTTGGCACAAACTGCATATGTCGAGTACCAAAATCGAAACTGGAGGAAGGTCGCATTGTGGAGTGTGTTCATTGCGGTTGTCGTGGATGTTCCGGCTAGTATAATAGAAAAAACTATTTCACAAAAATATTTAGTACTAGTGTAAAATATGGTTTTTTTTTTTGAACAAAAAAAAAAGAACTACAATACACAATTTACAAATTTTTTAAAATATTATTTTGAAATATAGTTCAAGGTGTTTAAAAAAATTATCATCAGAATGCGTGGAACTACATGTTAAAATATTTAAAAAATTTAAAAACTAATAAAGAATTCTGATAAAAAGTTATCTGACGTACATATGAATTATTTGTAGCAAATATTCACATTTCTTTAGTTTCTTTAAGGATGTCACAGTTTCAGTTATATTTATATGCACTTATGTATATTAAGGTTACAAATAAGGACCCGTTGTTGTTAAAAAAATAATATTTCTTGTTCTCTCACATGTTTACATTTGCATCGAAGAATTGTCCATCACTAGAATCTACTTTTTTCTGCGGATAAAACATCTTGAGAAATCCTCGTTCCTGTATAAAGACTCGACTGTCGTGGGAACTACTGAATTTCAGTCGCATCTTACAACAGGCATGCCTCACCACGGGTAACCCACAGTTGATGGAGAACTCCTTGGGTTCAGTCTCATTAGCTGTGCTTGTTAAAGCGTAATCTCAGCAGATATTGATTCATTCTGCAAGTGACGGTCTTGAGGGCAGTGTTCTGACAGGCTTGTGGCTTCTTCATCTGCATCGCGCTAGTCCCCGCCGCCCAGATCGAAGCAACATAGTTCATTACCAGCTGATCAATGCCAGCAACATTTCTTTATCCATTCTCCAGCAACATTTTCCCAGGTAATGCCGACTAAGGAGGATTTATGTAGTTACAACTCCTTAGTTTTGTGGCAATTGCAGATGTATGCGTAGTGAAAGAGTGCAGACTGTCTCTCAGTAACTTTAGGTTGTTTATAGTTGGAAATTTGACGCCATCGACGTTCAAGCTTGCACTCGTTCGTCCAGCTAAGAAAAAAAGTTGCTCGCAGTTTGTAGCTATATATATGCCTTGCAGGGAAGAAGTGGGAACGTTCGGCGAGATAGCAGTTTAGAGATCAATAAAACGCCCTCTGGTTGTTGGGTCACTAAATGATAGACGGTGTCAAAATCTTTTAACGCTTGCGGAAGCCATCTCGAAGTGCTGCTGGGCTCTACTGCTGTGTGAAAGAATAGAGCAACAAGACTGTAAGACTGTTGTCTGAAAGAATCTCCCTTGTTGGCTGGTTTCCTCGGTTTTAGTAGAGGGACCAACCACTCTACTTTCCTACTACAAGTCAGGTATTCTAAGGGGGATCAAAGACAGATTGGGGACCTTGGTGAGGCAGGCTGCTCTTTGCGCCAAATCTGATGAGGTAATTTTCGGAATACGTGTGACGAATGGAGTCGTCCCTAGAAGCTAAACCAGCCGAATTGTCCTTTCCCCATGTGCTTCCGGCTAGCGCTTTGAGGAATTGGTTTGGAATTGGAGGAATTGGCGGCTCTGGAGTTTTGCAGCAGTATGCGCCGTGAAGGAGTGCAGGTTGTAAAATGTGCGTCCCACTAATTTTTGGTTTTTTGTGGTCTGAATTTTGACGCAGGGGAGGTCAAATACAGATTGGGGACCTTGGTGAGGAAGTCTGTTACCGCTAGTCCAGGATGTTTCAGCATCAGCGTGTTTATTCCGTCGGGTCCGATGAATTTGGAGGATTTCGTCTTTCCGATTACCTCCTGAATCTCTTGTCTGGAAAAATCCGGCGTTGCGTTCCGCAGTTTGCGCAAGCGGTGGATTACTGTTCGAAGGATGCAGTTTGAAATGTCTGCTAATATAGCCCGCTTATATCCGTGCTCACCGAATGAAATTTCTAATCGGTCATCGTGCCTCGTCGGTCTTGAGTATGACTTGACCGTAGCTGAGAGCTTGTTTGCCTCAGAGGAGAGATTGCAGAAACTTAAGTGCACCTCCTAATTTTTTCTCTTGGTTGAGATGCCTGATTAAGAGATTATCGGGATCAGCGTTGCGAATGGAGTCGCATCTTGACGCTAGAATCGCTGATTCCGTCGGGAAATTAGCGTGGATTGAGTTGCATATTTGCAAAATTGCAATTCTCAAATTCTGAGCTAAGTTATTCGGCTAAAGTGCTTATTGTTTTCAATGAAATTGGCATTTTTATAGTTCAAGACAGATGTCTTGTTATCAGATCTGCTTGCGTCTTCCCATCCATGCTCTCTTGATGAGCAAGCGATTGGCGTCTGCGCAGCCTCAGATGCTTCCTATGGCATGGGGTAAAGAAAATATTTTGCAACGGGCCTAGTGCTCAATCTGAATACCTTGTAATTTCTACCCGACCCGCTTAGGCACGAACCATGAATATTTATGTAGATATATTTTTTGAAATAGATCTATCCCCCTCTCGTAAAAAAAGTATTTTTTCGAATAAATCAGTCCCTGGTCCACTTCCCAAAAAAACATTTCGTACAATACAAAGCTTTCCAGGAGCCATAGAAACAATCCGAAAAATTTCAAGTCGGTAACTTTTCGAGATCTTTACAAACGAAACGAAAGGTTGTTATGTACATATAATATATAGATGGGAACGTTCACTTAAAACCAATTTACGTCAATGCGATCATTCAGCTGAGGGTACATGATACTTGCAGCTTGAATTCCTCTCAAAGGATCAGTGTTTTCAGACTCTCAACTCGCCGAGCTAAGTCAAAAGTCGTTGTACATCTCACACAGCTGATGGTTAGATCGTGTGCGGTATTCGTCATCGCCTAAATGCAGAGAGTCATAAATCTTCCGCAAAACTTTTCTATAGAAGATTCGCAAGGCCGACACATAAAATGTTGTCGACGCCATCAACTCTGCATCATAAGATTGGACGTTATTGATAAGCGAATTGCAGAGTTTTGGCTTTGTTCAGTCCAAAGTATAACCGGCTAATGGTGATTCCCAGATACGCAAAGTAAACCATCATGACGCGAGAGCCGAGTCGCCTATGCGATTAATGTTCGCTTGATTTACGGCGCCAATGACGACATTAATAACATCGGCACACACCAGCATGACGATTATTGGAATTCTGCCCAATCCATAAAAAAAGGGGATCCTCCTGTCTGCGCTAATTACCGTGGGATAGGCCTCCTTAATATCGCCTATAAGGACCTGTCAAGCGTAATGTGTGAGAGACTGAAGCCCACCGTCAACAAACTGATAGGACCTTGTCAGTGTGGCTTCAGACCTGGTAAGTCAACCATTGACCAGATATTCACCACGTGCCAAAATCTTGGAAAAGACCAGTGTAAAGATGATCGACACCCACCACCTCTTCGCCGCCTTCGACATCACGAATAGGAGCTGCCTTTACGCCACTATGTCTGAATTTGGTATCCCCGCAAAACTTATACGGCTATGTAAGCTGACGCTAGACAACACCAGAAGCGCACTCAAAAATTGGATGGATCTCCCCTAGCCCTTCGGTCGTTTGATTTCTTCAATTTGATGCTGGAGAGAATAATAAGAGCTGCAGATCTGAATAGAGAAGGTACAGTCTTCTATAAGAGTATACAACTACTTTGGTACGCCTATGATATTGATACATTATTCGCCTCAACAACCGCACCGTAAGTTCTACTTTCTCCAGGCTTGATAAAGATGTGAAGCGAATAAGGACTAGACGAAGTATCTCCTGTCATCAAACAAACAGTCATCGCATTCGCAACTTGGCTCCCACGTCACCAGTCATAACTTTGAAGTCGTAGATAACTTCGTCCATCTAGCAACCAGTATTAACACCAACAATAATGTCAGCTTGGAAATCCAACGCAGAATCACTCTTGCCAACAGGTGCTACTATATACTGAGCAGGCAGTTGAAAAATAAAGTTCTCTCCTGACGAGCGAAAACCAAATTCTACAAGCCCCTCATCGTTCCCGTCCTGCTTTATGGCGCGGGAGCATGGACGATGACAAGCCGGCGTTAGGAGTTTTCGAGAGAAAAGTTTTGCGTAAGATTTATGGTTCCTTGCACGTCAGCAACGGTGAATATCGCAGACGTTGGAACGATGAGCTGCACGAGTTATACGGCGATATTGCTATAGTTCACCAAATCAAGAAGCTGCAGCAACGCTGGCTAGGTCATGTGATCCGAATGGATGCGAATACTCCAGCTCTAAAAAATTTCGATACAGTACCTGCCGGCGGAAGCAGAGGAAGAGGAAGACCTCTACTCCCTTAAAAAGACCAGGTAGAGAAGGACCTGGCTGTACTTGGTATTTCCAATTGGCGCCAGCAGCAAAAAGAAGAAACGAATTGCGCAATGTTGTTAAATCGGATATAATCGCGTAAGCGGTTTCTACGCCAGTAAAGTAAGTAAAGTACATGCCATCAGTTATACGCTTTATGGAATGTACCTTCTCTGTCTAGTTTGGCACCTCTTATTACTTCCTCCAGCATCGGGGTGAATAAATCACACGAAAGTGAAAGTTGCCATGGCCGAAGCCTCATTTGGTATCGAGTGGCTCCGCCCAACTCTAACAAAACTTTTGTTGTTGCTTAATTTCAGCCTGCAGAGCCGTGTAAGTTTAGCGGGTATACCAAATTCAGCTCTAGCGGCAAATATAAAGCTTCTCTTCTTGCTGTCGCATGTAGTTTTAAAATCGACAACGATAAGTTTTCAAGGAATGATGAGTTGGGAATGATGAATAGCTGCTCATTTGTAGATTTGCAAGGTCTGAGGCCACACTGATACACACTGATATCACATAGTACGCTCGATAGGACCTTACACGCGATATGGAAGAAGCTTATGCCACGATATATGGCGCAGATTATCGGGTACCTTTTTTTATGCATTAACTGACGATTATAAATGAAACTTTATAAAATTCTTTTTGAATAAAATCCAAGCATACTCAGCAAGACATTTTTTTTCTCTTTAAATGCGACTTGTCAAGAGGTAGACCGGTTTTTCATGGACACAAAACTTACCAAGCTATTTGAACAGCTGTTGCCATATTTTATAAGGAGTTGTTATAATTTTACCTGCAGAACTTCCGTTTTAATTCAAAGCTTAATTACCAATCATTTTCGCATTTTACGTTCCAATGTAGCGCTGATGCCAACATCAACCAACACAATCCCCCGCTGACTTAGAGCATACCTAGTTGGTCTACTATCATAATCTTCTTGTATTTCGTGCAAATATTCCGA